TGTAAGAAAAGAAATATATGGGAGAAACGATAAATTTCCAAATATTGGCAGAAAAGGTGAATTTCCAATATTGACAATATGAAGCTTAATACAATGCACTCGATGTGGCGAAGAGAACAAATATGGTAGTTATACGTTTCGTAAGTTCATTAAAGTTCTAAATAACGTTCTAAAGGTTTCATAAACAAACTAAGATCGTTTGGCTGATTTTTAGTCACCAAGGCGTTTTAAAAGAATAGGGCCTCATAAACGCGCGTGACTCAAGCAAACTAGCAAGAAAACAGCAAGTTTTCCCACATAATAGAGATATAAGTTACTCTTAATCAACAAACCGATAGTTTTTCAGATTAACGATTATGATAAAAATTTACATTTTTACTTGCGCACTAACTCCTATAACGCTATAAAAATGCTTGTTTTCCATTGGCGTATAAGCTGGGGCAAAAAACCCGAAAATATTGCTATTAATAATGGTTATTTGCGTACGAAATTACWGTAGTTCAAACATTTCTTGATATCTTGATATCGTGAAAAATAAAAAATGAATTAAATTTTAGACACCCTGTATTTGGAAAACACCGGACCGAGAGAAAAGTTCAAGAAAAAAGTTTTTTTATGTGGAATCTACCGCATTCCGTTGCGATATTTTTTTAGGAACACCTTGCATAGGCCCATGACGAAGCTAGATAATTACATCAATCTGCATGCATTTTGTATCAATTTGTAAATTTTTTGTTTAGTTTAAAGTTGTAAAGTTTAGCTATACTAATTATATTATTAAAGAAGCATTAATTTTTTTTATTATTCAATCCACTGAATTGTTCCTGAATCATGAATTATACTGGAAAATGATCTTTTGATTGCGTATTTGTATTTTTAATTGGAAATTTTAAATGCGTATTCTCAACATCTTTTTTGTACGTTATTTTGCCGTGAACCGTAACTACACTGATTTATTCTTATTGTAGAGATGGAGCTTTCAGCTTATTTTAATCTGCCTTTGGACGAATTATAAATTAATTTTGTTAATTAGTTTTTTGTCTGTTTGCTAATTAAAGATCTTCGCTATTATAAAAATACATAAACAAAATAATCAAGCAATATAACTATAATATAGCAATAATTAGTAATAAATGTATTACAAAATTAATTAGAAAAACCAAACGACAAAATTTATGAAAAACTCATTTTACTCAAATGGTTTTAACTAGCAAGTAACTTTTTAGCTCAAATTAATTAATATCTTGACTATTTTCAGCTGTGAACAAAGCAGGACCTTGATCTATGTGTACCTACTAAAAGCCTCTTGGTAATGCGTGTTTAAATTATTACTATTAGTTTTTTACATCTATTTGCACTTCAAAGAGTTTAAAAAAAAACTAAAACAAATAGTTTTAAAATTTTGTGAGAATCTGATCGCATCTTTTCGAAGGAACCCATCACTGTTGTCTGACTGGTTTGTTTAGATTTAATTATTCCTTTCCAAGTGTAACTCGCAATGTATTATTGATGAAAGTTAAAGAATTTTACGAGTGAGGAGAAACTTTTCCAGATAATCTCAACACGCAATCAACAGTGAAAGGTTTATTACAACGTGCGGCATAACAATGGGAAAAATATATTTAAATTGTATTTTGAATTGAGGAATCCAGTCTTTATGTTCTCATTCAAAATATACAAATTGTCCTGTATGTACAAGGATTTGCTACTGCAATTAGCAGAGTTTGAGTCCCATATAGCAGTGAAAAGTTTAAGTCGCTGTTGGAAATGCTCGCTCAATCATATTCCTCGATGAACGAGAGCAGATGTACTTTATTTAATTGCAGACAATTTATTAGATGATCAGGAGCGAATTATTTACAGGAAAAGTTCAGGACTTTATTACGGCACTCACTAAATCTATCAAGACGAAACTCGGAAACATAACAAAAGCCGAAATCCGGTAATACATCAACTTGCAAAACTAATAAGCAAACCGACGTAAGATAAATTTGTGTTAAATGAAGAGATTGAATTAATCGTTAATCTATAAATAGTGTGAAATAGGTAAAAATGTTTTCCTATAGGAAAGTATTTAAACGCGTACAGACAATAAAAGAGAACTCGGAAAATAATCACTGGTCTTTTCAGGACAAGGTAGTCACTTTGCAGACATGCCCGAAAGGAAAATCCCCTTTGCTCTTGTCTATCCTGGTTCCTGTTTTCTGGAAGAGATGGTTGTATTATAACAATTCTTGCTCAGTTTCAGTGGGATTTGTTTTTCATGTCCGGCTACAAAAGAACTCAATCTCCCGGCTTTTCTCTTTCTTAAATTAAAATCCCCAAGGCAGAATCGACTCACCTTAAATAACATTTCGTTCTCGCGTCAGCGTTTGATTACGGAAACTATCCATTGTCGCATCACATCACAATCACAGTCCTTAGGGCTCAGGATGTGCCTTTTGCCGAATTAATATCAAGTTTCAACTTTTGCGAAGCTCTGAGTTTTCTAAACAGGGAATTTTCTCTTGTAATTCTGTTAATTTATAGATTAATTTAGACTGAAATATTTAACTATCAAAAATTGTTAAATTAGAAAGAACCGGTAAAAATTTTAAAGAAAATAAGACGAAACAATCTAGTAAAGTATTCATTCACCTTAAACACAGTAATGAAGCAACAGAAAAAAATCCGATTTTTCCTAGATGTATTAAATGGCGTTTTCAGCTAGAACTTAATAAAAATTTGCCACTTAATTCATTTAAAATGCAGTTCACATAACAGAAATGCGCTGAAATATTTATTCCTGTTCCTTATCTTTACAAAATTCAGTCACTTCAAACCGCGTATTTCGTTCAACCAATTCCACAAATATTTGATCTAACAAGACCCTCTAATATCGACATTCGACAGATTTCTTGTTGGTTCCTTTTATACCGTTATCAATTTATATTCAGACAGAGGTTGCACGGAAAGGGGTCGGGCAAAAGACAAAAAATGAAAAGTGAAATATATTCGAAATTAATATTTATTTTAATAAATTTGATGTTTCCAGTGTTATTGGAGCACAAGGAGTGCCTAAAAATATTACTAATTTGTTAGTTTGTTGGTCAACCGTCGATTGATTAACATTTTCTACAAATTGCCTAACAAAGAGCTAAAGCAAGCCCTCTCTAAAAAAGTAATAATTTCGTTTTCAAGATACCAAATGTTCAAGTTTGCTTTCCTTGCTTTGTAGGAAAAATCCAAAAAAAACGAGGAGCAAACGTTCCCTTTTGAAATTTTCAACTGCAAGACCGCATATCAATTTTGAATGCCCGTATACAAGGAAAATTTTAATCAAGAATTTGAAGATTAAAAATAGTAAAAAATGTGTTAAAAACAGTAGAAAATGTGATTATTTTTCTGAAAGAAATCAAAGATTCCCTGAATTCGGATTTAATCGAAATACGAAAAATTTATATTATTATCGTATGATATTCGTGTCGCTTCTTCAGAATTTAGCTTAATGTGTTCGTTATGCTTAACATAGCTTACAGCGTTAAAAACTCCATTTTATATTAAAAAAAATTACAAATTATCCTCGCCAACGAGTTTAAAAAAAAGTAACTATCATCAAGAAATTAAACATCAACGGAAATTACATTAGTCAAGCGTGGGTTCTGACGCAAAAAATATCTTCATTCAGCTTGCTTGTCTCATCACCATTTATCAACTTCAAAATAATAAAGTAAAATAAAAGTATTTCAGCTTGCAGCTGAAAGGTATAAAGATAAACGAGATTATGTTTCTGAAACTTGCCTTTTTGTACACTACAGTTACATGTAACTTTAGTTCATAAGTTAAACTCAACAATTCAGTAAATAAAATGAGTATTAAATACAACATCAAGAACTTAAAAAATATAGATATGTATAAGACCTATAGAAAAGCAGTTTGAAGCCAACTATTCAAAAGTACGGAAGTAAAAACAAAAATTAACAATTTAGAAGGAAGCTTTTCCATTACAATCAGAATCAGACAAATTATAAAAATATAAATAAATTCGTTTGGTTTCAGCGAAGTTGAATTATAGAAGCAGTAAAACATAATTTCGCATTCTCAAGCAAACTCGAAGGTAAAGCTGAGGAATTTAAATTGCATTGATTCGCACAGCCAATTGTCTGGTTCGTTTCGTTAAAAATTAAATAAATCTTCGACTCCACAAGATGCACTGGATCCAATTTATCCTTGTCGAATGCATCTGGAAAGGGCAAACTTTACGTGCTTGAAACGTGCGAAATCGGAAAAGTCAGCTACTGGGATAACAAAACAGATGAAATTTCAATCGAAAGATTCGATTTTTGTCAATTGAAAGTTTATCCAATTTTTCTATTCGTGGCACTATTTTTAGTTTATCAACTTGATATCCACGACTTGAAATGTTTGCGGATGGATTTAATAGAGATATTTGCAGATAATTGAAATAGCAGTTTTGCACTGCAACAAAAGAAACTTTTTTTTAATAGATGATTTCAGACTCAGAAGCAAAATTTGAGCCTACATAATTTTCAAACACGCTTTATATATCAAGAATATCGAAATAAATAAATTATAAATCCGTAAAATCCTGCAATTTATCTCACCAATAAGCACTTCCACTTCACCCATCTACTCCTTCACAATTCTATAACACGAACTACAAATGTGCGGTAAACATGGAAAACGCAACAAACGAAACCAGCAATCTATTCAGCAAAACTAATCAAACTAAACTTAATATTAAAATATTAGGCAAAAACACAATTGTATCAAAAATAAAACTTGTACTAAAGTAACTGAACGTCAAACCCACGCAAAACAGATTTGAAAAGGCAAAAAATATCACGTTGGCAATTTGATATTGGGCGCACCAATATCGCAGTCATCTGTTACAGCAGACTGTTGTATTACATGTAAAACAAAATATTAAGCAGAAGATGATAAATTCACATAGATCACACTGAAAACAACTTATGGATTTAAAAGTAAAAAAAAACATATTTGGCTCAAAACTGTATATTTACATTTTTTTATACTATAGACGCAAGTAAAGTAATTTATTTATCTACGGCTGCATACAATGTCTGAACATGATGGTCAAGTGGTCACTTAGACTAAATCAGTTACGAAAATAACAAACTATTCTAAAGACACTCGGCAATAAGCAGTCTACTGCATTTTAATGTGTTCATTATAAAAAAATTGTTGCGCATTTAAAACTTTATACATTACCAATTAGTCAGCGTCAAAGTAAAACTTTTATCAATATTACAAGGGTTCGGTGGTAATAACTGGAACAACTTGATTGGTAATAAAAATAAATGAAATTGGTTAATCGTAGAAACGTATGTGGAGAGTATAACAAGATATAAAATTTAAAAAAACAGAACTGGGACTAGTTGAAATTTGTCAGACTAATTGATTGTAGTCAAACAATTCAAAATTTGTTTCCGATTACATATGTATAGACTGTTCTCTAGGGCTTACTGTTAAACTTAATTTAGTCTTACAAATAACTGAAACAATTTTATGTATGCATTGAAATGCTTACGAAACTACATACAATCTACCAAGATTTAACCTACTGCATATCAGTTTCCTGGACCGGGTCGCCATCTTGCAGCTGAACTTCATACACGTCATTCTCGTCCTCTTCGCCCATTTCTTGATCTTGGGAAGTTTCCTCAGATTCTGAAATAAACGTCATTTTGAAAAAAATTGCATGGAATAATATATTAGGTAAACTATTCAACACAATTGTATGCTATGTTTCTATATTTAGAAATGGCTGGTTATTACGGTGTTTCCAGTACCTTTCAAATTACTTATCTTAAAAATTGGTCTATTTTGCACCGAAAGATTATTTACCTGCTGGTATTTGTTGAAACTGATTTTCTTCGCCCACCTCCTCCGAAGCACTTTGGTTGTCAACACTTAGCTGAACTTCCGTCTCCATAACGTCTTGCTCGTCATTATTTCTAGCTGTAATTAAATTATTAATTCTCTACATAGAATTAGCATTAGTAAACAACGAATACCAATAGTAAGACTTACACTTAACCAAACACCCATAGAACACGTTTAAAAATATACATATTTAGGGACAATTGTTCACAGTCAATGGGACATGACCATAGAGATTGAATACAGGATTGAGAAGGCAAGAACAGCTTTAGTTAGAATGAAAAACATTTACCGGAAGAAACATCTCACTACCACTAAAAATCAGATTGATAAAATGCTACATATTCACAGTCTTGCTATACGGAGTAGAAGCATGGACAATGACAGAATAACTTATGAAAAAGATATCAGCCTTTTAAATGTGGGTATATCGGCGTGTTCTCCGAATATCCTGTAGGGATCACGTCACAAACGAAGAAGTACTCAGAAAAATCGGCAAACAACAAAAAATCACATTCATAATGAAAAAAAGGAAACTGGAATACTTTGGCCATCTGATGAGACACATATAACAGATAACAAATATCGCCTTCAGCAACGTATCCTTCAGGGCAAGGTGGACTGTAGAAGAGGTCCAGGTAGAAGCAGAAACTCTTGGATGTATAATCTAAGGAAGTGGTTTGGTCTGTCATCGATCCAATTGTTTAGACAAGCTAATAACATACGAATCACCATATTAATAGCCAACGTCCCAAAGGGATAGGGCAATTGAAAAAGAAGAATTATCTACAATATAATATGCGTGATGCAAAAATACTCATATTTACCAGCTTCCTCGTCTGCGTGCACTTCATTAATATGGTCTCGAAGAGCAAAAGATCGGGCATAACTGGCGCCACAAACCCAACATTCGTGTTTGAGGTTGTTCTTTCGGGAATGGGTATCCATATGAGCTCTTACAGCATAGAGCGAGGCAAATGGCCGGTTGCACTCGGTGCATGCAAAAGGTTTGGTGTGACTGAAATATAGACAAAATGCATAAAATCTGCTTTATAGTTAACTCAGAGAGAGCTTACCTGTTTTTATGCCCCGCTATCTGAACAGCAGTCTTAAACGCTTTCGGGCAATATGGACATTTGTAATTTCTATCCTCGGAATGCGTTTTCAAATGGTGATTAAAAACGCTGCATGATTTAAATCTAAACATGAGAATAGTATATGATATAATAGTTGATGTTGCGTTTAAATTGTATAATACAATTACCTTTTTCCACAGTGATCACATGTATAAGGCCTATTACCTGTGTGAGTACGCATATGCAACGTAAGGCAATATCCGATTCTAAATGATTTTCCGCAAATTTCACAAATATGAGGTTTCTCTCCTGTGTGTATTCTTTCATGTTTAACCTACGAAATTCAATAATGCATAAGGGACTTTGTATTTAAAAATCTAAACTCACTTTCTCATGTGGTCTGCTGAATCTTCTTCCACAATACTGACACTCAAAGTCTCTTCGTTGGCATTTCTTATTAACATGCTGTTCAAGCGCCTCATAAGTTTGAAAAGGTTTCTTGCAATATGAGCAAATAAACTTTTTATTATTGGAGTGTGCTAAAAGAAACAAATTGTTAAAATCCATATGTTACAAGTGGTCTATGATTAAAGATGGTGAGTTTTTGAGCTTACGCTTACTGATCGTGTGAAAAACATTTTTTGCAGCGAAAAGAACACATTTTTGGTAAATTTATAAGGCAGTGTAAAGAACTATAATTTGTTTCTATCCTTCGGCGAAAGTGAGAACATCACCAAAACTCGAAAAAAAGTTCAATCGGCGAATAATCGCAAGTATTACAGATTGAAAAAATAAATCACAAGTATATCAACTAATTTGCGTGTTTTATTGAACTATTTTAGTAGTAAATACATTTTTCACTTAATGTATACTTAATGTATAAGTGATTTTTTCACAAAAGTTAATAAAATTTATTGTAATAAGTTTATTAATATTAATATATTGTACCGTGGATTGCCGAGTATTAACTCTTTCTTCTGCTTCCAACTTTTATTCCACTCGGTATAACTTTAAC